TTGTAAACTTTATTCACTCCATGTCTGTCCAGGATTTTCTCATCTCTAGTTGTTATGATGATTCTACTGCCAGGACCAAACCATTCAGGCTTTCCAACCAATTTCTGCAATTGTTCATCATGATCAACATTATCAACAACAATAAGAGTTTTACACTTACAAAGCCTGGTTCTTATAAAATTGGTTCCTGTGTGATCCTCCCAAACCTCTTGATCTTTCCCCACTGTTTCGCAAAGGAGCTGTTTTTGTAGACGGACAAGACCAGGACCCTTGTGAACTTTACTCACATCAAGAAGAAGACAACAAGCATCAAATTGGTGGGAAATTCTATCGTATACAACAGCAGCAAGAGTAGTCTTTCCTACTCCGGGCATTCCCAGAATCCCTACAAATTGAGCATGATCATCCGATGAGTCTAGATTTAGAAGCTTTTCAAAAGCTTCTGCACGAGATTGCATCCCAATTAGATCATCTGCCAGACTTGAGAATCTATGTTTTAGTATCTGGGTTACTTCCAGAACGATTTGATCAATAATATCAGAATCTGATGATCTGAAGAAAGAAAAGGGAAAATCACTTTTAAATCCCACGTAAGCAATCTAAATAGAAAAAAGTCCCATAAAATCACAAAATTATTCTGAAGTCCCTTGTTATATAACACAGACATCAATATCTGTTGGATAATTGTTAATTATTGCTGCTTATACTGGACAACTCGACTATCAGTAATTGACAACTTCAATATGCACATTGACTACTTCAGTGAAGAACTTAGAACGTCAGAGTAATCTTATATTGACAAGGGAATAATGAAGAGAGAGCAATAGAGAATCATATACAAGAAAACCAAACTATAAAGGAAAACAAGAGAAGATATAATTACTTACTTATCCCTCACATCATAACCAGAGAGATCGGCTGCTTGTCTCAAAGCTGTCCTCCATCTCAGTACTCTGTCACTTGAGCTTTGCTTATGTTTATTAAAGGCTTTTTCGAAATCCCCCCTCTGATTCCGTACCTCAGATGGATCGACATCGTAGAAAATTGGAAGAACAGTGTACCCCGGTTCTGCGATTCCCTCACAGATCTTTGCCAGTTCGTCCAAGCACCATGATGAATCAGCATAGTTTTTTGGAGAAGACGACGATTGAAATCCTGGACTGCTCAATAGCTTTGAGGAGTTCGGGTCGAATACGTTGTCCTCTTTGGAGCTTTTTATCATCCTTGAAGGTATATATACCTTTTCGTTGAAGAGCAGCATGGAGATGACCAGTGAAACTGTTGCGAGTATCCTCACCTCTGAAGCTCAGAAACACTTCGTATTTCCAGGTCCTTCGAGATGATGATGATGATGAGCTGCTTGGTAAGCTCAAGTGATTCATTATTTCTACAATGTAACAAGATGATCGGCTCACTTCCTAAACACAACAGAGACGGCAAACTGTCCTGTGAAGTAAAGCCGTCGTTGATTGGAAATTAAAAGAAGAAGGGGAAAGAAAGAGAGAAGTCGTCGTTGACGAAGTGGTAATATAATTTTTTTTAATAAAAAGTAATATAATTTTTTTAAATATAACGCTGAGGGGCCTTTATGGAAAAGATCGATCGCACGGCACATAAAAATATCCGAACACTATAACAGTGCTAAGTAACTGTGAACACTGACATTACAGGTCACCAAAGTGTGTGTGTATGTTTACATTTTACTTTCAACATAATAAAAAAATATAGTTAAATTATTAATATTTTTTAAATAAAGGGACAAAAATACTTATAAAATAATCAGTTACGGGCACTTAATATCTTTAAATGATAAAAAGGGCAAAAATATCCATAACATTATATGAATATGTGCAAAAATAATCAAATCGTTAACTTTGACCTAACACTGTTAACTTTGATCGTTAAATATTGACTGTATATGCCACGTGTCAGTCTTTGTTGATGTGGACCAAAAAGGGATAAAAATACTCATGAAATCATCGGCTAGGAGCAAAAATACCCATAATGTTACTGGAGTTAGTGCAAAAGTGACCAATACATCCAATCCCTTAAATGTTAACTGCTTAGTTGACACCTAAGCAAAAGTTGACTATTTTTTCTACTGATATAGACAAAAAATATTTCAAAATGAATTTTTATGAATGTTGATCGATCATTGTATGAGTATTTATAATGTTACTTTAGTAGGTGCAATAGTAACTAATTCATCAAAATCAATGTCATATGATTTTTTTCCATCACTGCGTATCTCGCCTCTTTCCTTTCTCCCTCTCCACTCATTTTTCTTGACTGAAAAACTTGAGATTTAACATAATGAGATAGGTTGCTCAAAACCAAAGATCAAGACCGAGTACATCTAATTTAAAAACATTGTTACAACCTTAAGCAATTGCATTTACGATAAATTTAAAATTTTCAAATGATTTTTGCCACTGCTGCAAAAAAAACAAGCAATTTAATTTGATATTAAGTCACAATGACATTTTCTCACATGATATTCATATAATAACTTATTAACTTTCAAAAAATTTTATCTAAAAATATTTTTTATCTACATCAATGAAAAAAATAGTCAACTTTTATTTAGGTGTTAGCTAAATGGTCAACATTTAAGGGATTGGATAGATTAGTCACTTTTGCACCAACTCTGGTAATGTTATGGATATTTTTGCTCCTGGCCGATAACTTCGTGAGTATTTTTTTCCTTTTTTTAGTTTACGTCAGCAAAGACTGACATGTGACATACACAATTAGCATTTAATGATCAAAGTTAATGATGTTAGGTTAAAGTTAACGGTTTGGTTGCTTTTGCACCTATCCATGTAATGTTATGGATATTTTTTCTTTTCCATCATTTTAGGATATTGGGTGTCCGTGATTGATTATTTTATAGGTATTTTTGCCCATTTACCCATATTTTTTTAAATTTATTATATAAGTATATTATTTTTAAAAAGTACTTTTTTCATATATAACCTTTTATGTTATTTATAAAAAATTATGAAAGGATAAATATGAAAGAAAATAATTGATAATCTATATCATTTTATATGTACAAAATGATGTATTAAAAAGATCATCAATTTTTTTTTAAAGAAATGTGAATTGTATGAGAGTTTTCTTTTTTAAGAATGAGTGACTATTCAGAAATGAAAAAAGAGAACAAATGTGAGAAAAGAGTATAATGATATTATATCTTAATTTAAAATTTTAAGGCTTAAGATTAATTCTCTTTTATTATTTATTAGTTATTAATCTCAATTTTATTTAATATAGACTTCCCATATTGATTTAAGTCTAACCACACCTTCACAATTTAACACATTTACTTACAATACCTTATTTTCACTGATTCCAAAATCGGACTGGATCGGACGGTCAGATCAATCCAACTGTCGACCGGTCTTGATTTCAGTTTAGTCAATATGAGAAAATCATTTTTGAGGTTGAACCGGGTTGGGTCATTTTGAATTGAGAATCAAATCTGATTTTTAAAAACCGGATTGTTAAAAAAAATATTTTTTATTTTTTTTTATCAATTTTTTTAGAAATGACTATTTTTTTAATCATTTAATATTATGTTGTATCACATGACTTATTAAATCATGATAAACTTAAATATTTAGTTTTTTCAAGTTAGGTAACAATTTAATATTTATTTCTCATATTTAGATTAGTATATACATATATAATTTTTTAAATTTAATTATTACATCACCGGTGTGATCATTAATCCAACCTAATCGAATCATGTAAATTATAAACTGTTGACTTTTTTAATTTAATATCCTGTCTGGTTGTGAAAACATTGCTCGTTTCCATATGTGTGTATATGTGGCCGTCAAAGCCGCAGTGAACTGCTACAGTTCCATGAAACACAACGTCTCTTTTATCCTTCAAACAACACTTAATGTGATTTTTCTCGTTAGCTAATAGCCAATTTATTAGTAATAATGTTGATATTAGTTATTGTTCACTTCTGCCTAGATGTTATGAATATGATTATCTTCCTTGTTGGCGATGTAACTGTGTTTTATCTTTCCCCCCTCTGGTGTGTTGTTGATATCTAGATTATTATAATCGCTATTTCTGTTAATAACCTCTATAATGGTCGGTTCTAATGGTTTTTTTTCTTTAAAAGGAATAGAAAGCGCTTTGGTATGGGAGACTAACATGAACGCTTACCTAGAAAAGCGCTAGCGTTCCTATAACGTTTTTTCTTTATACTAATGAGGCAAGTTGTTTAACAGCAAAGTACATTTTGGTGTTTATGAGATAAGAGATTTAGAGAGAAGCGATTAGAGAGATCAATGATGAATCATCTCATTAAGTGTGTTCTCATGATTATTGTTACAGTCTTTTTATAATAATAACCACTAACAGAACCAAAGAGACTAGTTACAGTGCTTGTTACAGGTATTACATCATTGGGCCATTGGGCCTAGCATAACGACTCTTAACCCCAATCTTTATACATATATCTGATATTTCCCTTGCTGATTTCTTAAACAAAAAAAAAAAAAACCAGAAAGATCGATGATAACAGATTTAGAGAGAACTGATTTATTGATAAATGATGAATCATCTCATTAAGTGTGTGCTTATGATTATTGTCAGGGTCTTTTTATAATGACCACTAATAGAACCAGAGAGAGTAGTCACACTGCTTGTTACATCTGTTATATCATTGGGCTAGTGGGCCTTGTACAACAACTTTTAAGCCCAATCCTTTTGCATATCTGATAGTGTTGAAGGAAATGAGAGTTGCCAAACCAGCATTTCACGTCAAATAGTTGAATCCTTATATTGAGAGACTATCGTTGTAAAACTATAGGTAATTAAATAATAAGAAGGCATACATAATTTAAGACCAACAAGATATGTGAAATTTCTCGAGTTTAATTAATTTATAAGCAAGTTATGACTATATATAACCTTTGATTGACGCTTCATGCTAAGGAGAGATAAGAAGGAACAGAGAAAGAGATGACTGATTTAGAGACAAATCATTCTTAAATATACCAAATACAAATAAAACAAAAATACAACCTTCAATCTCAGCCTTTATTACCTAAACTTCATGAATATTAAACCTCACAAATACTTATCAAGTAAACAAGAAAACAACAATTGCTGCAAACCAAGAAAACAACAATTGCTAACAACATTTTTCTGCTAAAACAAACAAAAGAAAATACAGAAAGTTCTCTAAGAATGGATTAGACCAAAAGCTAAGCAGTTTCACTTCTGTCAAGCTCTTCAAAGGAGAAAAATTCAAGCAATGTGCAAGTTCTGAACAGCCAGCCAGATTTAGAATTTCCAATGAGTTTAGAGCAAATAAGCGATTGTGAATACTAATAAGATTGATGCAATTTCTCAAATTCAAGAACTTGAGCATTGAAAGTTCGGCAATAGATGGATCCAATTCCAATAATCCAGTACAACCTTCAAGGTCGAGTCTCTCAAGATTTGGAACTCCTCCAAAATCTGGTGTCTTGATCACAGTTTTGGAGCCGTAGAGCTTCATTTTTCTCAAGTTGGGGAGCATCTGCTAAAGAGAAAAAAATATGATATATATATATATATATAATTATAAGAACATGAATTAAAGATATTCAACAAATAACAAATGCCAATATTAATCGTGGATTTGAATGGGTTACCCCTTTTTTCCTTGTTGTGTAATAGTGAAAAAGAACAAATGAAAGAACATTAACATCACCAGTTTGCCCTTCCATGCTGCTGTGAGGTTGCTATTAGGCATAATCAATTGAACAAGCATATCAGATTGAAAACTTGGCAGCCTTGTGAAAGGAAATTCATGCCACGAAATATATTGTAACTTGCTTGGAAGGTCATTCAATGTTCCAGAAAATTTCACATTCTGAAATATGAGCAATCTAAGGTTGCTCAAATGTGATAAATTTTCAATCCACAATGTAGTTGTTTTTGGCTCTTCCAAATCCTCTTCTGGCTGTTCCAAATCCAGAACTATAGCTTTAACTTCTTCAATAGCCTAGGATTAGATTTTATATAGAAATAATTAAATGTTACATTGATACTTTGATTTTATAAACATTAAGTAAAATAAATTGTCAACAAAACTTACTCTGTTTGTTGCTATGATCTCGAGAACATATTTGATATGGTAGAATAGGTACAATCTGCTTTGTTTTTTTGGTTGATGAGGGCATTCTTGGCGAACAATTTCTCGTCCCATTGCTTGCAACATACTATGCATTTGTATTCTTTGATTTGAAAGTCACAAGTGATTTTTCAATAAGAAGTTTGATTCCTATCTCGGCAGAAAAACCATAATCATGCAAAATTTCACTTACACAATCTATGTCCTTCCCTATAAAAAACATGCAATATCCAAAAAACATTTCCTCAGTCATGTTATCAAGTTCATCAAAACATTTTCTGAGCACCATCATTATCTCATAAGGAGGAATAATTTGTTCTCTATCCAAGAAATTTCTCCATTCTGCAACGCTTAACCCATGCAAGCATGAGCCTAACATTTCAACTGCTAATGGAAGGCCATCAGCATATTCTAGTACCCTATTAGTCATCTTTAAAAAATCACTCTTGATAGGATAATCCCTTGTAAAAGCTTTTGAGTGAAATAGTTGAGAAGCTTCATCCTTAGTCAATAATTCTGGTCTGTAAAAAGCATCAACCTTAGAAATTTCAAGGACTTGTTCGTCTCTAGTTGTTATAATGATTCTACTCCCTCGACCAAAATGATCAGATTTCTCATCCAAGTTTAGTTCTTCAATATCATTTACAAGATCAACACCATCAAGAACCATGAGAATCTTTTGATTTCTTAAGCTTTTGCATGTTAAGAACCCTTCTTCTAGAATGTCTCTTATCCCTGGATTTTCTGTCTCCAAATTTCTACAAAGAAGCTCTTGCAAAGATAGATCACCATGCTTCAAACGTATACTTACATTGGGAAGGAAACTAAAAGCATCAAAATTGTGAAAGATCTTAAAATATAGAACTGTAGCAATAGAAGACTTCCCTAATCCACTCATTTCGCAAATTCCTACAACTCGAACTATATCATCCGAACCCAAATCCAAAAGCTTTCAACTTGTTCAACTCGAGATTGCATTCCAACAAAACTGAAAAAGCCATAAAATATTTTATCTATTTTTGTCTTGGCCTCCGTGACAATTTTCTAAATTACCTGATACTTTGAGATGAAAAATACAAGGAGAAAACAAAACACCAAATCAATCAAATTTGATTCTTCGTGAGGCTTGAGGGAAAAGTTTGTTTTTTTTGTGGTGCAACTATGATGATACTATATATCTTGACAGTCTAACCACATTATACTTGGATGATTATGATTATATATATTTTTTAAATATCTTTTTTATTCAAAATGAAGTAAATATAAAAAAACTTCAAATTTCAATTTCTTTTTAAAAAATAATGACTATGACAAAGAGGCTATCAAAATCATTCGGTCTTCATTTAATATGAAGTGTTCAGATTTACAATAGTACTATGTTGCTGTTCTACAATGACCGAGAACTTATCTAAATATATAAGTGGATAAAGGGGAAATTTTTTTTTTCTTTTAAAAAGCAACATATATATGATGAATTTAGCTTTTACTAATTAATCAACATATATATGAATTTTTTGGCAATAATTGATGTCAATAGCTAGTTGCTTTAATGACAATATCACCTCCTTCTTTTGAAAGAGTTCCTGAGTTTAAATTGAATATTGATGTGTTGCGTGTGTGCATGGGTATGCGCATTTTCCTTTCTTATGAGCAAAAGCTAAATCAGGGGTAAAATTTAAAACAAAATTTGGCAATAATTGATCCACAGTACTATCCGTGCAAGCAAAACTATTGAAAAATCAAGGGTAAAGTTACTCACAAATTTCGTACATCCAAGCCATATCTGGCCACTTCTTTCATATCCCACCTCCATCTTCGTGCCTTGTCTAAATCTCTATTAAGTGTAAGTTTCTTCTTGTTGAGCAAAGGTTTCTGGATCCACATCGTAAAAAACTGATATAAACCTGTATGGAATGTACCAGTGACCAGAGCGATGAGCCTCCTGATTCATAGCCAGCCTCCATGTGTTCACCTTGTCTAAATATGCCTCAAACCAGTTTTTTTCTTCAAGTTCAGCAAAGAATGGATTGACATGAAAAGCTGGTGCTGGCCTTAACATGCGAGCATGTATTCGTGGAACAACACTTGAGAGTTCCTCTAAACACCACGATGAAGAAGCATAGTTTTTGGAGAAAACAACAACACGAATCCAGGCTTGTTTAATTGCTTGAAGAAGATGAGGTGGAATATTATTGGAGTCTCTGATAGCTTCAAGCTTCTTATCATCTCCGAAGGTTATTAAACCTTTTCTTTGAAGAGCAGCAGAAAGGTCACGGACGAATCTGCTAGTTTTGCTGTCATCGCCTCGAAAACTTATGTACACATGAATCGGTTTCGATGATGAGATTATTTCTGGATCCTCCATGGGAAATTAATGAAGCTCCAAATAATGGAATAACAGTTGCTTATTGATCAAGAATTTGGTTGCGGAATTACTTGTTCCTATTAAATGATATATAATGTGGAATCGGTCCAAATTTTGACCAAAAGGAACAAAAGGAATAGGTCCAAATTAATGACTACCGTATTTTGTCCCCCAAAAATGCCCCCAACTGTTTGTCGTATTTCTGCCATTCATAAGAGAAAAGTTAGCCGCAACTTTCAAATGTCTGCATAACGGAGATAATGACAAGCACCATCACATGATGAGCAATCTGGACCGTTCAAAGTTTTAATCTCAACGGTTCAGATTGCTGTGATGAGCATTATGGTGCTCATCACATGATGAGTACCAAACCAGTCTCCTGTATACATGTATACGTGGTAAAATATGACTATAATACCTTATATATATATGCATTGCTGGAAAAAAAATATTACATTTGGTGGAACCAGAAATACCCTCCCCAGCTCTTCCAACATAAGTGTGAGAAATTAAACCTTTGTTTTACTACTTGATTAAGCACGATCGAATATTATGAAGACTTGGAAATTTGAAATACTATTTATATATGTTTGTTGAAGATTTATTAATTATACTCAACATAGCTTCTTATTTGTGAAAGGCTGATATTGATATTATCTTTTCCCATTCTTTGAATTTGTTTGGATTTACAAAGTGTATGAAAAAATTAACAATAATGTCCCTATGGACATTAGGGGATTAAAGCGCTGACAATATTACAAAAATAGCTAATTAGGAGTAACTTATATATTCAAAAATATTTTAGGTAAGTGGATAACGTCCTAATTAATTTGTCAATAAATTTATTTTATCAAAATATTATTTTAAATAAAACACATGTACCAATAGATTTTTTCAGTTTGAATATTTTGTTAATTAAACTATTCTATCTTGTGAAGTCATAGTGTGTATGGTGAATCATAGTTAAATTATTGTACGTGTATATACATTCTTTTACAAAACATACTTTTAAAATTGACAAAAATTTTTTTATACAAGTTTTGGTAACATTTTACTTAATAAAGTCAAGCATGGAAATTAGTAATAAGAGATTTGTGAGACATTAGTTATGAATTTTCATATTGAGAATGATTGGTATTTTGAACGATTCATACGGGTTTGATATTAAAAATAGAAAATTAAATCTTAATAGTAATTTTCTCACATGCTTGAAATTAATTTCAAAGAGACTGAATCAGAATGCTGATTGTTAATGACAGTCTCGTTAGTCCTTTGACACGCCATGATTAAATCCTAGCTAGTTTGGTGTTCGTTTCACGCTTGTTATTCATGAGCTTACTACTCATACTTGTTTCATGCCGTGCTTGTTTCATGATTTCTAGCCTTGATTGTTAGTTAGTTACCCTTGCAAATTGTTTGCTCACACTTTTTAGTTATTTACCCTAATGGAATTTATGTACACACTTGTTGTTCGTTCAGATAAAGTTCTATTAAAGAATATTTTGAAATTACTATTTTTAAAGGAATTTTATTAAACAAGTTGATTTTTATGAATAGATTTCTTTATAATGAGGGATGCATTTCTTAGCTATTTAATACAAGCCTGATAGTTAGAAAGTAGAATTTGATTGTTGTGTTATCATCATACAGGGATGTTTTTAGATTAGATGCTTAAATGAAATTATTTGATTTGAGTTATGCACTTCTGCTATTCTAAATGACTATTTTAGTTAAATTCATTCTTATTCCATTTATATATCTTTCTTTTATTTCTTTTAATTTTAATTTGGGATGTTATTAACTGAAAAAGATATTTTGGCCCTAGTTGTTGTAGTTGGACTTGTATCTTAAGGTGTTCATTAGGGAGTTTTATTTCCAAACTGAACTTCAAACAAATCTCAATTTGATGTAGATTTAAACTTTGTAATTTTGTCATAGTTTGATTCTAGGTGCTCCACATAAACTATAAACAGGACCCTCGTATTTATCTTAAGATTGAATGTCTAATTTTATATTATAAATTGCTATTACAGGAATTTTGGGAGGTCTTATTTTCAGAGGGGGTTTTGCCAAAATTTCTTTTGTAAGTTTGCAATTTTCAATTTATATGAAAAGTATTATAAGAATTTCCAATCATCCTACTAATATACTCAAAGTATTAACTTAAGAGTTTCTTTGGTCAAGGCATAAGGGATGTGAGTTTTTTGCCCATATCCTGCATCAATCAGACCTAATTTTTAGGGTGTGTCAAATATATTCTCTATTTGTGAGGTTGCTCAATGTACTAGAAGGAGAAGAATGAGCCTACACTTATGAAAGTAATTATAAACAACTAGATCAAGAATAATCTAAAAGTTTGTGGCAGCCTAAATCGTAGCATAATAGTTTAATTATTCTCTCTTAAGTTCGACCACGTATACTCCAAAATTATTACCATATCAATTCCCTACACTTACGGGAGCCTGAAAGCTAGAATAGTTAAGCCCAAATTTTCTAGGCCTAATCTAACCCAACTACCTATTTTAGACCCCAATTAATACTTTTATATGATTTTAGGCCCAATTTAATCCATAATTAGATGCCTAAACATGTTATTAACACCAAGTAACCTTAAATACAATTTATTCCTCAATTAAACATAAAAATAATTTCAATCCCAATTTTAAATCCTCAATTTCCTCAATTAAGTCCTTTAAATAAAAACTAGGATGTTATATCTACCTTATGCCATTTCTCACATGACAATGACAATACTAAGCACTTTTTAATCAATCATGCCAACCACTATGCGCAAATCTCAATAGGATCTACATTATGTACATTTTCACAACGCCCTATATATACTCATTCAGGTGAACTTCCACCCATTCATAATCATGCAAATCCAATACATATGTAATGCCATATTCATAGCCATTCTCATGTTTAACTTAACCATGCAATCTTTTCCAAACTCATTAGTCATACTCAACGCATCACATAATCACTCTCATATTCATTAACCGATGTTCACATATTCATTTATGATACCACACCACTTAATCAATCATTCACCATTGTAACATACATATTCAACATGGAACTCAACCACTTAATCTCGCAAAACAAGGGAAAACAAGCTCACATTAATTCCACATATTATCATATATTAATTATACATGACTCATAAATGCAAGCATCAAACTAGAGTTGATAATTCGGTCGGATTGGGCTTATTTAGGTCAGGCTCAATTTGAGTCAGGCTTATTTGGATTGGGTTTAAAATATCTTACCCTTTCTAAAAAGCTTATATAGTCAAGCCCAGCCCTAACACTCTGGCCCGAATATCCAAAAATTTTTAAAAATATTTTTTTATTTTTTGAACCAATTTTAATTTTTAAATAATTTTGTTAAGAATAAAATATTATTTTAGCTTTAAAAGTATAAAATAAAAAATAATAACTTATCAACTTTGAATTTAAGTAGCTTTGTTACCGTTTTATTGTATTATGTGTAATTTATTCATCAATATTGCCTTTAATTGTAAATTAATATCTTAGTTGTTTAAATATTTTTCTTATCACGGTCATATATAAATGTTTTAATTAAATTATATTATTTTAATTATTATCAAGTTGATCTTAATTCAATCACGATAGGCCACTAACTTAAAATCATTGTCCCAATTAGTTCAAAGTTTTTAAAATTTTTAGGTAAACTATACTTTTTATTTTTAAGAATATGAAAAAACTAGCCATCATTATATTATATAAAAAATTATTTAATTATGCGTAAAATACTATTTTTTTGGAATTTTTTATATTATTTAACCCTTACATAAAAGGATATTTACTCTAGTTTACTCTTACTTTTTAGCCAAGTCTGGTGTGGATGATAATTAAATAATTATCTAAGAATATTATTCTATTTTTAATGTTTATCTAGTAGTAGAGTCGAGAATTCGTACATTCTAAATTTTGTTTTTAAAATTAATTTTAATTTTAATTTTATTTTAAAATTCATTATCTTATTCTATAAAAAATATAAAATATATTTTTTTTGATACTCAAATGATGTGTAGGACTCAATTTTTTTTAAAAAAATTGGGTCTTAAAATATAAAAATCAATATTCAAATATATTTTAAATATTATTTTGAGATATTTTATTAATTAAAAATAAAAAATATCAAAATATAAATATTTTTAATTTTTTTAAAAACAACTATAGTGATGCACTCTAATATATGGTATTTTAATATAAAATGACATAAAATTTAAAGAATTAATGAATATTTATTATATTTTATCTATTTTTTAGCAAATTTATTTTTTATTTGGGTATTCGGGCTAAGTTTGAACCTGATCGGGCTTGGCTTGAAATTTCTGGAGAACCTAATTAGGCCTAAGAATTAAAAAATTATTTTTTAGGCTCAACCCTAAATTTTTCGAGCAGGTTCAGTTTGGCCTAAATTATTGATTCTACATCAAACATCTATAAGAATTGGACTCACGATTACCTCAACTCTTGAGCTGCCACCCTAAAAGTACAATTTATAAAAGTACAATTTAGATTCTAAGGGAGCTTCCCAAATGCACAAATGGCTCTAAAGGCAGTCAATCTCCAACTAGAACCATTAATTGTCATTAATGATTAATCATCATTAATTAGTCCTTAATAAAAGTTAAGGCTTAAGACCCCTATTAATGACATTAACCATAAACAACCTCATTTTAAGCTTCTGTTCACTTATTTAATTTCCATTTAGCTTGACTAATATACACTGTTAAACCACTTCATTTACTTAAACAAGGGTACTTAGTATTAAAGTTAACTCTAAACCCATCATTAACATTCTTAACACTATCATTAACTTAAGCTAATGATTGAAAATATAGAACAACATCCCAAGACCCATTAAAGTCATAGGAATAGGAAAAACTCAACTTGAAGTTTGGACCTTACTCCCCAATCCTAGAAAACTTAACAAAAAAACATAGAAGGGGAAGAAGAAGACAAGAG